CTACGTGCCTCTAAGGGCAGCACCTTAATCAATCACACCTGTTGTTTTCAGGTTTCATGACTCAGGTTCTTCCCACCAGATAAGTTGAGGCGAGTGGACAGCAGCCAATTCTACTGTTTATGGTATCCTCCCACATTCCAAGGTCGTACCATCCCAAACAGCAACCAGCTTTGAAAAACACATTTCATGCCAGAGGACCTTAACTGGCCTTTAAAGAAGCTCAGTAATTAATTTGTCCAGGAGACCTGGGAATAGAAGGAACAATTGTAGCACATCATTCCTGAAGCTCCTCGATATACAATAGTCTTCCGGTGATTTTTCTGTACACCCCCCAAACTGAGTTGGGCTTATCCACAAATATATGCAGTAATACTTTTTAAAAGTACCCATATTTCCCATGTATATGTGTATAAGCCCATCCATGGATAAGCATACCCTTGAATTTTTAACCAAAATATGCAGGGCAGTTTATCCATGGGTGGCACATTTTTCAAGGTATTTTGGTTAAAAATTCAAGGGTCAGCTTACCTGCGGATGGGCTTGTATGCGAGTATGTATGGTATATTCACACAGTATACTAAACCATGCTTTATAAACCATACCAGCTGGGTCATACAATACATTGTCCCAGAATCTTCTTGCGTGTGCAAATTATTCCCAGTTTACTGATTAATCATAATTGCCTTGGTTTCTGCATTGCAAGAAATTCTACAAGCAAGCCTCCTTATGACTGAATATGATCCCAATGAAGACACCATTGAATTAGTTTTTTCCCTGTAATGTATAATGAACCTCATTGGTGAAACATACCCATGATTATACAGAGAATTTTTATCTTGCATACATGATATAGTGGATTTTGTTCATGAAAGCTTATGCTTCAATACATTTCTTAGTTATTTCTATTCAGCAAACTATGAAACACACCCTGCTAATTATTTGAATTTTATGAAAAATGCTTGTCCAACCTAGCTGAACAAAGCTGTGATCCAGTAAGTTGGACCTTAACCTTAACCTTAACCTTAACCTAGAGTTCATATTCAGGAAAATGTGGAACATAGATTAATTATCTCTAGTTAAACACTCCTGTTGTATTTATTATCATCATAATTTTATATGTGCTTAGTCTAACAGAAATTCTATGAAATTCAGGTAAGCAGACATGGTACTGCAGCTTTAAAACACATAAGTAGATAATGGGGATTCTATATGTTTAATGTTTACTTTTTAAAAAGTTACAGTAGGCTAAAGTTAGCACACTTCCAGCTTGAGTGATACTCTCTTTTTTAGTGATGTTCTAGCCATATTGCCAAGAGCCTCCTTCATTCACATGCTCATGAAGGTGAAATATGGGGGATCAAGCTAAAAGCCCTTAACCCAAATACACTTTCCCAGGGAAAGTAAAACTGTCAGCTCAGCCATAAAACATTTAGAAGGCCAAGGATGCTGATAAACTAAGAAAAGATACTGAGAAGCAAGCAGAGTTCTGGGAAAGCAAAAGCAAAGTAACTCCCTAGAAAGAAACTATGTTCATGAAACACTGTCTCTGTTCTTTCAAAACCCCAGTCTTTGTAGTCCTGCCTCATTACATTATAGTTATGGCCTCACTGACCTCACTAGGCACATTATATGCTGTATCCAATCAAATATCTGCTGTTCTACCAAATCACATATATACTATAATTTGCATAAATATATAAAGAGGGATTGTACAGTAATCCCTCCCTCCTTTATGACTGTCTTTGCCTCCAGGACTGTCAATAAACCAATCTGTACTTCAATGCAGTTGTATCCTGGTCTCTGATTCAAACATACCCCTGGGAAAATTCCCCTATACCCTTCTAACACTGTTTCGTACATGTTTGCTGTGAAAATCTACTGTATAATTTGAAGGAATCTTGGACAGGAGATCTCTTTTTCTCTTACCCTCTCTTCTTTCATTGGTTTGTATTCAATACACAGAGCCACTATTAAAAGGGATAGAGTGCCATCCCATGTCACCTAATCTTCTGTAAGTATTCCCTTGCCTACAGATCACACTGCTCCCTTGAAGGCAGGGCATGGGAAGGAACACTCATGCATTGCCTTCTGATTCATCCCTCCAAAATTCCCTTCCCCAGTTCTTTTCTTCTGTAACAGGATAATAGCAACTTAAGTGAAGACACCTAAATGACACAGTAAACATCTGGTTTACTCAGTTTGCATGTGGCACTGAATCTAATCGTATTGGCTGGGTTCACCCAATGTACTATGTTGCTAACCAGCCAGCTGCATATTGAAGATCCAGTGTAAGCAAAGGAGGATCAAAAGGGCTGGGTTTTGTGAGATATTGGGCCTTTCTCTGATTTTGCCTTCAGACTCAGACTGCCTGTGCTGAATCCTTCTTCCCCATCATTGCTACTCAGTAAGTCTGTTTGATATAAACCAATCATTGGACTTTCAATTTATGGTGTTTTCCAAAGAAAATATGTGATCCTGCAAAGATTGTATGTAAAAGAAAAGTAAAGTGTCAGGCACCAGCTTCTTATTAAAGATAAGAAGAGAGGAAGGGGAGGGGTATGTGACAACCAGTTTATCCTTCTTTCATTTGGAAATGAAAAGATCCTACTCAGGTGTGAGTTCATTGCAGCTTATAATCAAAACTTCAATGGCATGAGTCATCTTCCTTCCCTTGCAGTGGGTAGCTGGAATGTTCTTAATATATTATGCCTTTTCAGTGGGGAAACCAGAACTTGGTTAGCTTAGTATTTTTTCTTATAGGCTCTTACTGACTTTTTGCTTAATAGCCAAGATCACTCAAATTCTAATTTTCAAATACCACTTCCTCCCAAACTGAATACTGTTGTGAAATTCTTTCTGGTTACACCAACAGTGAATCTACACACTTGACTGTTTCACGCTGTAGACCTGCGCTAAATCTTCATGCCCTAGTGGCCAGTAAAAGTCGTCTCTTGAAAACTGAAGCACAATGGATGATTCTCAGGGCCCTTAAAGAAGAAGGCAGCTGATTACAGCCAGAGCTAGATAGCAATGGATTCTTACTGACTGCTAGTGGTGCCCTATTTTTGTGCATACCACCGTTTAATCTGTTTAAACCATATGTAATTTTTTATTATTAACATTCTGAAAATTAAAATGTAACATGGCAAGAAACGAAGCTCAGTTTTAGTGTCTTATGGTGCAATCCTATGTATATCTACTCCCACTGAATTCCTAGTACTTTTGTATAGGATTATAACGACGATCATCTGAGTTATACAATATTGTCACGCTGACAGCAGACAATTCAGGTAGGGAAATCGTCCTCTTCCAAGGCTGTTGGACTCCAACTCTCATCATTCCTAGACAGAACGGGCAGCGGTGACTATCCAAAGAAAGCCTGCTTCAGAGCGTTCAACAGAATGGGTGCCGCCTCAGCACAGTAATATATGCAGACATGCCTTACGCTCCATTCATTCGCATAAAACCACGTGTCACTATAATTTCTCAGAATAAAATGCAGCTCATAAATAAAACCGGAAGCTACGGGGGACTCTCACAAATGTGACATATTGGTGTGTTCATAGACTTTTACAATTGAAACATCCTCGGCTTTCAGCTTTATTCTTCTCGCCTCTTGCACGTGTCTTTTTCAAGCACGTAACTTATCAATGGAGCACAAGAATTCCGTGTGCAGCTGAATAAAGCGTTTGGTCTGAAACTGATTATATGAGAACATTTTAAGGAAACTTTCCTTTTCTGCAATCTCAGGACCGTTTTATAGTTTGACTTTTTCTCGAAATCCAAGCAAGCTTTATTTACCTCTTTCTAACCTCCAGTATTTATAATGGGCTACACTTCGAGACCGTCATTGGCTATTGTCTATTCGCCAAAGCTCTCCAACTGGCAATATGCTGAAAACTGAGTGCATTAGCAGCAACTTTGGTATATGTGTGTGTATATTCAACCAAATTAAGACGAATTAAAAGGACTAAGAAGACTGCTACCATTTCAGTGGAAATATACTACTAACCAATCACTGCTATAATGAAATGCTGAATTCCTTCATTTCTTTGCCACCATTTCGCATGAAAACAAAAAGCAAGGTCCGTTTCTCACACAATGAATTATAATAGGTCTCTTCATTCCTAACACTGAATTGTTTTATAGCTCTACATTCCTACCTCTGCGGAAAGAATGGTAGCTCTAATCTCTATGATGGCACACGCGGGTAGAGCGTAGACGGAAGGTTCGAATTGTTACGTCATATCCGTAGAGTGACGCAGCTGCGGGTCAGAGGCGGCGGCAAAATGGCGGCTCCAGACGAGCGGGAGTTGTCGGCGGAGCAAACTGAGAAGCTCCTTCAGTTCCAGGTGCTGGCCTCGGGCACGGCGGGTGGATGGACCTTGGTGAATGGAAGTAGGCCGGCGACCCCGGCAAGAGCCCCATCTAATTGCCCCTGGGGAATTTCTAGCGTGCAGAGAAAAGCGGGAGCAACCTGGTCATTCGCTGCTGCTGGCCGTGGGATGGCAGCGGGACCATGTGGGGTGGGGACCGCTGTATTGGATGGAAGTGTTTGGAAAAGGGCAGCTCTTCCCCGCGACTTAGGGGAGCTCGTGACCACCGCTCGGTGAAATCTTTTGCCTGAGTGTGTGTTTGGTTTCTCCCGGAGGCTCCGTGTAGGACGAACGGCTTCTTTTCTAAAGGGAATTACCGGGGGGGGGGGGGGGGAATCTATAATATAAAGTCTGAGCTTGGTTGAAATATATTTAGTTATATGCTGTCTTCGAAATTCATTAATAGTAGGACCTATTGCACGGTAGGCTGGTTAAAGACAACAGGAAATGAGTCAGTGTATGGATATGTTGGAAGAATTCTCCAATCCATTCCGGGCTGGTTTACCAGTGGGTTTCTTTTTAACATAGGTTGCTCACTTACAGTGTTCAAATGAACAATCCTAAGTGACAAGTTGACATGGAGTCCAGTATTATGAATATTTACTTTGGAATAAGCTGTACAGGTAATCCCCAGTTTAAGAACGAGTTCTTAAGTCGAATTTGTATGTAAGCCAGAACAGTATTATTGTGTAATACTGTATAAGTAGTACTGTGTAATGAACTAGAACCGTTGTGTATTTAACTTGAATTTTGCTACAATAGGCTCGTTCTTGACCATGGGTCATCTGTAACCTGGGCGTTCTTAACTAGGGACTACCTAGTGAGTTCAACAGATTCCTCCTAACCAAATGTGCAAATATGTAGCATTACTCCTATACTCTGTCTTGTTCTAGCACACTGAGCAATACGCTACACAGAAATCATTGTAGTTCATGAAAGAGTAAGTAAAAGAGCACACGATTTTCACATTTAGTACTCCATAAGCACATAAGGAAATATATGAGGCTGCACAGTTTTGGCAACAACTTGTAGAAAAGTTGTCAACTGAGAATTCCTAACTAGCTTTAAGTGATGGCATATATCTATTAGGTGTAAGTTAAAAAAGCAACTATTGATGATTCATACCCGTAAAGTCAGACTTATTTTATAATTCAGACTCTGGCATTGCTGCATACATTACAATTTGTGACTTGTATTTAGCTTATTTAATAAATGTGGGAAAGCCTATTAAGTCAAGACTGATGCTGCCTTCTTCAGTTTCTTTTTGCTTTTCACAGCACAGTTTCCAACATGATTATAGCGAGAACAGGGTTTTTTTTCCTACATATGCAACTTTTGTTCTATTATTCCTGGTTTATGGAACAGAAGCAAATGTAACATGGAATGTTTACAGTTGAAATCTTGAAAGAAAATTAGTATGATTTTAAAAATCAGCCCAGCATTGTGAGGGAGTTGGATAGCTTTCATGCAACATAGTGCTTATTCCAAGCCCTGACATCTCAGCTGCCTTAGGTTAGGTTGCATGTGGATGTATTCCTATCACAGAAGAATCTAATCTGACACTTAGCTATCCTCTCTAATTCCATAATGCATCTCATTATATATAGATCCACGGGTTCAACCTGACCTGTCTCCTTTCCTCCCCTAATATTGTTTAGTATCCAGCCTATTGAAGAGTTCTATATAATTCAAAAGTTTGCATATCATTTTGTAACCAGTATATTACAACTATGTATTGTGATTAGTTTAATACATGTGTTGTCTTAAAATGGATTTTGGGGATTAAGATGTCTGATTTTGTATTCTGCTTTCACTATTGATTTCTCTAGAAATATGCTTTAATAGTCCTGTTGAACAGAAAATGAGTTGTGCATAATTAAGTACGTCAGCTTTTCCCAACTTGGTATCAGTTGAGGGTGCAGTCCTGACAATTCCTAGCCAGTATCACTTTCATCCATGTTTTCTGGGAGTTGCAGATGCAGTGTGAGATTGAGGAAAGCTAAATACTTAAGTAATATGCCCAGATCTTGATTCAATTGTATCAAATAGAAGCTACCCAGTCACTACTATAAATGATAGTTTCATATCTAATATTGGTAATGTTCCAAAGTGATAGAATAGTATATTCTCTGTGCATCTTTAGATAGCCATAATTTTATTTGCTACTGTTACACTGTTCTCATTGCTTAAAGCACTGCAGGCAGTATTGATAAAAACCATACATGCCAGGTTCTTATGGTCATTTTAGAAATCTGAATAAATAATAGAGAAGAAATTTGGTAAGTTGATTTTTTGTTTGTTTGTTTGTTGTCACTGTTGAAGAGAAAATTGTGATTTTTAAAGGATCTTCTGATACTGTTAAAAATCAGGAGGAGTCTGGTAGCACCTTTTCAGACTAATACATTTTAATAATAGGCATCAGCTTTCATGAACTACAGTTGTAGCTAAGCTGTAGTTCACAAAAGCTTATGCCTTTTAATTATGTGTTTAATTTGAAAAGGAGCTACCAAATTCCTTCTGATTTTTAGCTACCATAGACTAACATGTCTTTCCTATTACACTGATATGATAGTAAACTCAGGTTGCTTTTGGTTAAATTGAAATTTTTATTTTATAGTTAGCTTCACTGACTAGGAGGTCTTTACTCATAATATTTTACCCATCATATCCATCTGCAACTTAAATTGTGCTGTCCAAATCAATTATACTTTATTTTCTGAACATAAATATTTTGGGTTTCCTGTACAAAATAATACTTGTGTAGGAAATTGCCTTACAATGTACACATATCAGGTTTTCCAATAAAATGTTCTAAAAATAAAGGCAGACTATAAATAAGTTTAATCACAGTAACCTATTTAATACTGTACCATCATCACATGACACTTTAATACAATTACATAAAATATAGGATAATAATGTGAAGTGTGTGAGGGCTGATAGCAGGAAAAGATTTTTTTTTCATCTATGAATAAAGGGCACAATAGTAGTATTCAGAAAATAAAAATTTACAGGATACTGCAGGTGTATTATAAAGACATTATTTTTAAAAGCCCAGATCTGAGGGCAGTTGAAATTTGGCCCTTTTATATTTTTTGGTGGGGATGGGAGGGAGCTAATGGGCAAAATAGGTACAACAACTTCACAGTTGCATAACCTGCTTTGCTCCTTATTACTGTAAAAAATAGTGGTGTCAGAAACTGCTGATATGATCTAAAGGTGGTCTGGAAGGGCCCCAAAATAGGGGTTGAGGGAAGATGCAGAACTAAATCAGAGCTTATACTTATATCTGGACAGTCTTATCCTTAAATTTTTCTCAGGAAAGAAATTGGCTGTTAAGCTGTGGTGGTGGTGGTGGGATTAAAAATGGAGCCATTTTATTAGCCAGAATATTTATGGTTGGTTTCTCCAACCTGTGTCAGACTGCACCTTTCATCATCTCCTACCAACATGTCTAAATGGCAAGCACCAGATTGAAATAGATACACTATAAAGTATACAGCTTCAAGAGTTGAAATAAGTATGGAGAAATTGAGCCTCTTAAAGAGTTATCTGAGGGACAATCTGATCAAACTGAACACTTTACAATGTGCTTGAACCTCTCTTTTAAAATTGTAAAAAATGTTAACTTTGGTTTGATAGTGTCCTTAGATTTTAGAAAAATTGGGTTTAATAGAGAGAGAGAATCTCCTTCCTTTCTTCTTTACTGGTGCTATACTTTTTCTTTTTGCTCTCTCCTTTAACTACTATAGAAGGTTGTTGTTTTTTTTAAACCCCGGAGACAGGATTCCACTTTTCTGTCATGTGAACATGTTTCCCAAGCAGAACTTGACATCCATCCTCTGTTTTAGCTTTTAAAGAATTGATGAAAACACCAATACAGGGAAACGATTGCCTCCAAAATGGGATTGGCAATTTGCCTTTTTTTAGATAAAGCAATGGTAATTTTCTGAAATAAAATTTATGGTTAGAATCTACTTTTTAAAAACATTCACATATTAACTAAAGAAACTTCAGTTTTCAGTGTAAGATATGTGATCCTATGAGAAATATAACCATATTGTATCTGGCAACTATTTCATTTTTATAGTCCTATCATGCTATTTAAAACACATTTTTTTTCTTAAAACACAGTAAAGATAGTAAAGTGCACTGATGTTCCTAAATGTTTATTATGTTCCTAAAACATAGTAATCATAGTAAAGTGCACTGATGATGTTACCTAGTCAAGTAATGAAATGTCTGCAAGCAAACAACCAAGCTCACACAGCATCAAAGACTCCATGTAGTAAAGACTTATATTTTTTTGAAAGTCAGGTACTCTTTACCTTGGAAATGTAATTCTCTGGAATTTGGTGATGATTGGGAATTAAATCATTAATTTGATATGGGATGCATGGAAATGTATTTCTTTTCTGAAGTATCAGAGCAACATAAGCATTAACGTATATGTTTTCCCCTCTAAATAATAGCTGTAAGTTGCAGATCAAAGATAGAACCATGGTCTGCAGCAAGGAGTGGCCTAAAGGAGTGGCTTACTTTCCTTCCAAAGTCTGGTAGTTAGCCTTTCCATGTTTTTCTCCAATTCTTCCTCATGCAATGCCTGTTTAGTCAAGAAACAAAGCAAAACAAGAATCTTACCATGTTAGAAATATTCATACATATTAAGTTAGCATCTTTATACATAGGCAAATTTAATCATCAGTCTTAAGAACATGAAAGCAGAGTTTTGCAACTTTGAGGCTATTATCTCAGCATCTTAATTCCTGTTTACTTAAATTTCTGCCTCCTCTTCATCAGGTTGCTTGATATGTTATATATAAAAACATGATGAATATATGTTATGTTAAAAAGCTATATTTGAACAGAAGTATCTTGGGGTGGGTAAACTTTTGCAATGGTTTGAGATCTGTATTGTTTTTTGTAAATCCCCAGTTATTATTGCAGCAAACTCAACATATTGTAGTTACTCCTTT